TAACAGTCTTTAATAATAAATTCATAAAATTATTTGAAATTTTCCCATCGATATATTACAATATTTAAATATAATAACTGATAAAAAATATTTCAATAATTGCAATTAGAAAAATTATTTTATATTCAAGTTATATAAATTATTTTAATTCACACATGAAAGAGATTAAAATAATTATATCAACAATTTTTATTTAATAATTTTATGAGACAAATATTTAATCTTTATATCCTACATAATTATATCCTTGAAGAATTTTGAGTCCATGTAAACTGTAATTTTTTTTTAAATATTTTAGTATCTTCAAAAAATTTTTTCACAGGCGAATATTTAACTATTCTACTCACTTGTGAAAACATTCTCGCAATATTATATCGACATTGTCGCAGGAAGTAAGAGGTATGCACGTTGCAACGGAAGAGTGCATATCGAATAGTGAAAGAAAGAGCTTCGATCGAAATCTACATTGAAGATCGCAAGAAGTCTTTTGCCTCGTCTAAGAAGCTATTACGGTCGAAATTTGACGTATGATGATGCGTTATAAGTCACGCTTATACGAGATCGTGCTTGTATCACGCTTCAACTATACGTCATTAATCTCTCACATGGTTTCAATTAAAGGAACCGTTCTTGCAGATACGCTAATGATCAGTTATTCATGTAAACGGTTCTGTCTTGCCATCATCGAAAGAATATGTATCCTGACTTGTACGAGATATTATATTTCATGTTTTATGTATGCGATATTTGAATATTACGATTCAGCTTTGAGACTTTTTTTTAACGAGTTCTCAACCGAGCTTGGTAAATTGAGCGTGGGTTGCCGGGCTCGTACTAACGAGACAATAAAGAATAATTTCAACTTCTGTATTTTAAACGAAAGTCATCGCGTTGATTGTACCAAGTATTTAAGCAAAGGTCATATCGTATCTTTCCGATTCTGACGTCTAACTTGCACGTCCAAATGTCAAGGGTTTATTCTTTTTAGCAAATTTAATTTTCAATCAATTTCCTATCAAATAAAATCAAATGAAAATAACGCGCGGATATGAATTTAAAAGAAAATCAAGCGCGTTTCACTTTTATTCACATGACGTATGAATAAAAATAAGCCAGGATTGAATGTGCAAAGCGTGACGCTGACGGAAAACATTCGAACGTCGTTGACTCACAATGAGCCTCGGTAATTATTCGCGATGTCGAAAGCTCGAAGAGCGGAGCGGCTGGTGCTGGTCTCGCCGAGAATGGGACGAATAATCACGGCGGAACGCCCGCACTTTATTCGATGCATTTATGGAAGACGAGCGAGGAACGATCATGGATAAAAGGCGACGTGAATTCATCGAGCTATTTTATCCTAGGATAAAAGACATAAGCTCATTCCTGCGGAAAAAAAAAACTGTCTCATGGCAGCAGCAGCGCACGATGACGCGTGCATCGAAATGTCACGATCACGTGCGTGGCGCAAATCGATAAATGCAACGTTATGCTCTACATCTGCGATCGAAGTGGCGCGTGAAGTTTTACGTATGACGGATGTATGATGTGGGAATAGATGAGTGCGTAAGATTGCGTGCAACTGTGTCGGTCTATAGTTGTGCCAGATTGACGTATGCAGTCGTATAGACATATTAGTGTTACTACGAAAACGTGGAAACATCAATGATTGAACGAATGATGGAGCGTGTAAATAAGAATGTCAGTCTTGTAGAATTACACATAAAATTGTGAAACATAAGTCCCTCTCCGTGTATTACATGCTTACAAATTTCTATGTAATAATTCAAATTAGTATCATAGTGCTACAAGAAACAAATAAATATGGTACATTTAACATCACTGAAACGATGTGTGTCATAATAATTTAGCGATATAATAATTGACACGATACTTTGTGTCTGATATTTCCGTATAATTTGAATTCACGATCGAAATTTCATTCGTTTTCAGAAAGGAATCGGTCGATGTTTGTTTCCGTTTCGGGCGGAAAAACATTCAAGGGGGAAGGAAAATTATAGGAGGGTCCCAACATGGCCCATCTTTCCGTTGAGAGTGGGGAGGGGAACCGGATTTCCGAAAAAGGGAAAGCGCGGGATGCAGGTTGCCTGTGCGCGTCTCGCACGCACTCACTCACGCACGCACGCACATACGCACGCCTACGCGAATGCGATAAATTATGCGAGGAGGCGGGCCACGATATGGGGTAGGGGCTACCATAAAAGAACCTGTTACGTTCTAGATATTAGCCCGACGAGCGCGTACAAAATCGGCTGCGTTAGCAAGTAGAGGGAAAAGAGGAAGCGGGAGACGAGCTATCCTCGCTCCTTCCTCGACACGTCGATCACAATGAAGCCTGGTAGAAAATAAATGCAAACAGGGTCACCAGGGTAATCCTCGATGCTCGGTTAATGGCACCGTCATAGTTACACAATAAATAAGTACAGGTTTTACGAGCTGTTGTGGCTTTTAAGAGCGTGATTAGTGCGATTAGCTACACACAATAAAGATACCATAAATGACGCGAGCAATTCTCCAAGAATTTTTTATTTATTATTATTTAATTTTCCATTAATTTTTATTCCATTAATTTTTATTTATTATACCTATTACGATAGTTTTATAACAAACGTCTTTAAATATAAATCTTCTCCAGTTATTCCAATATTTTATTTTACTTTTCCCCTGTTCTGCAAAAATATATATTATTTTTTTAAAAATTTTGTCCAAAGTTTTTACCCGGCCGCGACGTTTCTCCCGAGTAAGAGCCGAGTGTCGCGCGTTCTTTATTTCTGTTTATCGATCGGCGGCAGAGAAAACCGGTACGTGTACTGTACGGTGTTTCGTGTAAAACGGGCAACAAAGAATGGCTCCGTACGGTAATTTCGCGCCGGCCAACGCGTACCTATTATAATTATGTGCCGGGTAAAAACGGCATTCCGCGAATAAGGCGCCGCAAACTGTAACGATCGCGCATCGCGGGACAATGCGGACAATAATACCCGGCGACGAAGGCGTGACACGGTCAAATTTAGCGCATGTCGAGGGGTAAAAATAAAAGCGGCGCTCACAAACCGTGTCTCATGAACGCGTTTCAATTGTACTTTAATCAGAATTATCCGCATTATTTCGACATCCTAATTCGTCGCGAGATTGCATTATTATTTGTACCTTTGTCGTCTAATTCGATTAGCACTTGTGACTTAATCGTGAGTCACGTCAAGTGCTCGGAATCACGAACTCGCAGTTTTCTTTAGTCGTGTCGTGACTAATCTACCTCGAAATTGCAATCTAATTACATTTGCATTCGATAATAATAGAATGATTATTAATCCGGATTAAAGTGTGATCACGATCAACGATTTGGCTCGTCGTTGTGTTAGATTTTGTAGATTGAAGAAAGCGCGATTTAAAAACGACAGTTTTGCGTGATTAGGAAAGTGCATCGACGAGATCAAATTTCAATCACAATCTGTCATAACCGATCTGAAACGGCTGTCAAATGATGCGCGATATCACCGCGATATATTACACAAGTTGTGCGGTTTCCTGCTTCGCCTTAATCTTCTTGCACGCGTATGGAGCAGTATATCATAGCGGCTGAGAAATTATGCGGCAATCATATCTCGTTGCAGTTGCAACGTAGCAACTATGTCACACCGAGCGCACTGCATTTTATCGTGGTTGCGATGCATCGTATAAAAGTCATCGTCACCGCGACTGATTGGAGCAATCAAGCGAAACTTTACAATTTCTATAAGAAATGTGCGTCAAGACGGTCATAAATTTCGCGTCGAAATTATAGGAATGTCAAATATATGCCAACTATTTAAAAAAAAATTTAAATAAAAATCACAGAAATATATATCGTGCAAAAAAGAGTGATAGAAAGAGAGAAAAGAAATACGTAAATCAACGCGAATGATTCTCATATAAAATTGTCAATGTGTACATACATATACTCTCTGGATCTGCCGTTCGCGATGATCACCGATCACTTAACTCTCCCCTAATCATCGCCAATTAATATCGGTTAACGTCGTTACCTCGATGCCGGGAGGCCAAGTCGAGAGTCACTCCTGTAACGAAACAATCGCGCGCGCGTGCGAGATTCGACCACCCGGCATCTCTCGACGATGCACACCACACTCAAAAGCACATCGCACTCTACTGATGGATGAACGATGCCATAAGCGAATCGAACGGCTGCGTCGAGCCGTTACGCTGCCATCGCGCTCGTCCAAGAAGAGAGAAAGAAAATGCGCACATTTTTGACGTGGCGATTATTTCGACGACTATCTACATATAACACGCGTCTGACTAATATAAAATACAAATTATGTATGAAAAGTGCCATCAATAAAATAACCAATCATGTACCATCATATGCCATCGATAGAACTAAACAACGTAATAAATATATCGATAAAATCAGCAAAAAATATTGCACTGTGCTCTTTTGTATATTTTTATATCATTTTTTAATTATATTTTATCATATATTTGCTTAAAAAATATTGTAAAACCAAATTTTGTATTTATTTAATATTTCATTTAATTGCATGTGTTTAATTTAACTCATGTGAATAATTTATAAAGAAAAAATATTTGAGGAAAGAAATTATTGTGAACTTTTCTAGTTTTATAGTTACAATATTTTTCATTTCAATGAAAAATTGCAATTTACCATTAAATTTCTCGACAAAGTTTAAATCCATACGGCATTTATAACGCGTTACATGGCGAATAACATGTGCGAGCCTCGGACACTACCGTTACCGCTTTATTAAAAGTTATACATCATTGGTCAAACTCTCTCGCTGTCTTTCTAATCTCACGATCTGTCAGCGAGGTATAGGATGGATGGGATAAAATCGAACAGTATTGTTCCATAGAAAAAAAATCACCTTCTCATATTTTGATAAAAATTAAAATAATACCTTGTCACACACGTGTTTAAATTGGCATTAGTATTAATGGCTTCTTTATAAATCTAAATAATTTTAAATTTCTAAAAATGACATTTCCATAACCGAGGCTTTAATCCAGAGCGATGTCTGAACTGGAGGCTCTACGAACCGCTAAACACCCGGAAAGAAGGAATAAACGGGTTATGCGTGCGCGTGCCTCGACATATCATTCTTTTTTCACGCACAAGAGACGACGTAACGGTTCGTGCGTGTATTCGACTACACGACTACATTAATCGACATACATCAAACAACAACAACCGCTTTAATGGCACAACTGACAGTTTAGTGACTGAAGTGGCGCAATCATTAAACTCGACATCGCCGGAGGTATTTTGTCGGTAGAGAAGCAGACAAGAAAGGATAATGACCCATCTCATCGCGGTAAGTGCATCGATTAGAACGCACACGATCCTATCCTATCAAAAGTATATTTTCTCTTTTTCTTCGGCCGATGCATCGATCATTTAAAGTGCCTAACGCTCCTGAGAATAATTTTAAAGCACGTTCCGAGTAAAAAAAATCTTTACTCACACTTGTACGAGATATTAAAAAATAATCATTGTCGAAGCAGAAAATTGAAAAATACTTCAATATTGTTAAACTGTATCATAATAAAAATACATATCTGTCAAAAATAATTTGGAATTTTCACTTTAAGATGACCGTGAAAGAAACAAATGTCAGCTATGACATTAGAAACGAACTATAAGAAAAAAAAACAGCACAGGCGACTTCGTGACATCGACGCACACGTGACTGCATTTACTAATCGATAGTAGCTACGCGATTCGCGACTCAAGGAAAACGTCCGACGTGTAATTTAATTTAATGTTAAATTATGTGTATGTCGATGAGAAGGCGAGACTCCGGTTCGCCTCCGCAAAATGCTGATATCGCGTACGAAGTTTCGAAAATTCGATAACCCGTTTCTCGCCATAATCGCGATCGCAGTAGGACGCGAGGAAAGTACGGCTCAAGGACAACGATAATCTATACCACAGTCGAGACTTGAAAAATTCTACGAAGACTGCTGCTTTCTAGAGGAAAAACGAGAACGTTGAAAGTCCCCGTATGCGAGGAACGACGAGTCATCGATGAGTCGCGTTCGACAATAACACTTAAAATATTAAAACGCAAATGATGTCAGACAAATACGTATAGAACTTCCCGTACGAACGTGCTCCAAAAATGAATGACGTCGATTTTTACTCGCATTAAACGAATTAATAAGGGGATTAATCTAATCCGGAAAGCAGGATATTTTAATATAAATAATTTTAATATAATTTAATTATTAATTTAATCTAATTTTAATATAAAAGAAATACAATTTTTAGCCATGCTGCCATTTCAATCAATTCATCAGTCATATTAAATGCCGTTATAAGGACGTTGAAACATACATAAACACCTGCACACATTGTCAGGTGTAAAGGAACGATGACGAGCACTATACGCGTACAGACATACATTTATTAAATCGGAGCAGAGCAATTCCAAAATTTCGCAATATCGCGATATCTAAAAGATATTTACCTGTCATATCGATAAAATATATCTATAAAATTTACAGAATTGATTTTAATACCCCTAATAAATCCTCGCGAGAAGCCGGTGCGAACGTGACCGACGAGACGATCTCGCTCCGAATTTACTCGCAAGAACGCAAAGGACCCTGGCGCGTATCCTTTCGTGTGTCCTGAAACACGCGGGTTCACCTGTCCGGAAGGACCCCATCCTTCGCTCCAACTTCCGTCAACGCACAGGCAACCGTGAATCTCGGGGAAAAAGGAAATCCCGTCGAGATGATGAGGAGGAAGGAAATCAGGGAGAAGGAACGCGAGGCTCGCGCTTGTCAGTAAAGGGTTATAATATTTACTCACAGTATACGTGCGTCCCGCTGATGTCAGGCTCCAGGATGCTCGACGGACAACGTTTCCTCGCGAAACCGGTACCCGCACGTTCCGACGCGCTCACTTCACCTCGCACGTTTCCACGGCGTGTCCCAGAATGCGCCCTGCGAATCCCTTCTGTCCACGCGACCACAACGGCACCCGTCAAACGCGACACGCACCCGCCATGTTGTCACGGCGACGCCAACGCCGCCCGGCGGCGCCGCCGTCAAGCGGCGGGCGCGCGAACTTTCGAAAGCGTTACGAAGATAAGAACTTATCTTCGCGCTCGAAGATCGATTCTGAGAAATTATCGCAAAATCCGGCAGGAAAATAATCATTATTTTATAATTTAAAAAATCATACTTTCGATCGTCGATGATATCCAAGACGAGAGCCGGAAATTTTCGCGAAACATGACGTAAAGACACGCGTTACATTCCTCCCTCTTTTTCAGCCTTCGATCGGGCGGATGTTTTCCGCGAGAATAATACGCGGATTCGTCGCGTCGTCATCGCTGCGCGATATCGGACGCATCAGACGGACGGTGGCCGATTCTTTGAATTTAAATTGTCGCAATTTTTGTGGTACGTATGCACGTGCGCGCGTCAATTATTCGCAAGTTAATATTTAGCAATCGCGACGATTAGCGCGATCTCTACGACTGCGATATCGTTCTTCTTTTCACTTATTATGCTCGCAGGTATGTACAATCGACTGACCACGTGGGCTGGATACACCGAGTAACGCAACCATTGCGTTCATTCAGCGACTCTATCACGTGATGCTGTCATCTGTCGCATTGAGAACGTGATTGAGACGACGAGACACGCCGGAGATTTCCACGAACGCCTACGCGCCTACTAGTCGAGAGAGAGGTTAGGTTGTCAATCGTAAATAGTGTCACGTGCATTCGATTATTGTTGCGAATCCCGTTTCGAGAATTAGATAGGAAAGATGAAATATTGTTAATTGTAAAACTCCTTTCACATTTTTTATCAAGTAAGATTAAATCATCTGCAGCGCAATAGAAATATGACCGATTACTCTAAGATTGCTTGAGAGAAGTTTCATGTGATGCTGTAAAATAGGATTAAGAAAATTCCTACAGATATATATTATCTGTATAGTGTCTCTGAATCGAAAAATTGTATGCGTAGCTTGTTAACAAAAGAGAAGAATCGTATTTAAATTGTTACTTTGATTAAGTTTAACAAAGTTAGGAAAATATGGTAGATGAAGGCCTGTTTTCGGAGCACATATATAGCGCCAAGTTTCAAGAAGAATTCAAAAAGTACTGGCATTCCCAAACTGACTTTAAAAATGTAAATTTGGAGATCATATCAAAGCCCTTTAGAATCTGTAGAATATCAAATTTTTTAAAAAATGAAAGATTTATAGAGAATTTGAAATGCGAGTTGGAAAACCATGATCATAAACGCAAAGTTACTGATCTTTATCAATTTGAGAAAACTGACGACTTGTTTGGTGCCTCCGACTATTGCAGCCAGATGCTATACAAATCTTTCCAGAAAGATCTGGCATCATGGATGGAACGCAATACAGACATTAAACTAAACAAAACTATCTCTATGTCAAGTGCTCGTTACTACGAAACAGATTATTTATTATGTCATGATGATAATATGGGTGATAGAAGAATAGCTTATATATTATACTTATCGAAAGGTTGGACAGAAGAGGATGGAGGTGCTTTAGAGCTCTTTGATACAGATGAACATGGTTCGCCTAATAAAGTAGTAAGATCATTAGTCCCAGAATATAATTCTCTTATATTCTTTGAAGTTGTAGAAAATTCCTATCATCAAGTAGCTGAAGTAATGACCGATGACAAATGTCGGTGGTCGATTAATGGATGGTTTCATGGTCCCTTAAAAGAATGCTACCAAGCTAAATCGCCAAGATTCGACTTAATAAGAAATTTCATAGAACCGAACACTACTGAAATAGAATTAAGTTCTTGGATCTCGAAGCGTTATCTATTACCCAGCATAATAGACCAAATTCACGAGAATGTCATGAAAGAACCTTACACATTTCTTGAAAGCTTTTTGAAAGAATCTGTATATGAGCAAATTGCGAATGATTTGACGTCACAAGATATTAGTTGGCGGATGGCTGGCCCTGCGGACATACGTCATTACGAGATAGCCGATGAACAAACCCTACCAAAATTATTGAAGGACTTTTACAATCTATTTAAATCTCTTTCCTTTTTTGAACTACTATGGAAGTACACGGGACTCGATCTTGTGCCCGATGAGAAGACTATGAGGCCTAAGATGACGATAGAATTGCAGAGATGGTCGGCGGGGTGCTACACGTTACTGTACGATAAATCGCTAGTGAAAGATGGCTCAGATGATGCGGCAAAAACTTCCCAACTTGACGAGAACACGAGTATTACAGCTGGTGCATCGACCTCAAAGTCTTTGACCGAGATTATCTTAGATACAAGTTCAATAAAAAGAAAAAGAGACGGCTCTTTCCCAAGTACGACAAATTTATCTCACAAAAAGAAGGTAACTAAATATGTCGAGTCTGACGTTAGCACGCAATCCTTGAGTAAAGATTCTAAACATGGCACGGACACGAATGAAATTTCGCTTCGAGATGAGGAGATTTCTAGTGATACATCAGCCAGTGACAGCGAGAATAATTCCACCAATGATGAATACACATTAGATGTAATAATGCAATTTCATACGGTAAATGACCAGGGCGTATCAAAAACAGGAGACACGATAGATTTTATAGATCCTAATCAAGAGCAGGGGACTCTAATTCAAATACCAGCGTTAGATAATCATCTTTGTCTAGTTTATAGGTCATTAATGGTATATCGTCTTCAACAATATCTGAATCATCTTTACGAGGGTTATTCTTATACTTTGATGTGTTCATATTATGAATAATTGCGCATATGATGTAATATTCATTTAAATATTCAGATGTTTATTATAAATCGATGTTGTTCTGTTAAAAAAAATCTAAAGAAAAATAAAGATCAAAATTATTTTTTAATTTAATTTTGTTAATAATCAAAAGTAACATTCTTGAAGAGATAATTCTCTTCGAGACAATAATATTTTATGAACAAATTGTAAATATTCGTATTTTAATAAAATTTATCGTGAGAAATAAGTCTCTTGTTTTCTCTTTAGTAAAAATATGGTAGATATAAAAGATGGCTAAGTAATAGTAAGCATAAAAAAATTGCGGATGTTATTCGCGAAAAATTTAAGAAATTGATTTAATAAATATGTCAACAAAGGATACTAACAATGATGTTAAATAGGAAAATTTCTAGTACATAAATATAGTTCCGGCTAAATATATTTTTTTTTTAATTTTTGGAGGAAGAGAAAATTAAAAAAAAATATAGTAGATATATAATAATAAATTTTAAAAACAAATATCGGTGCATTAAGCAATTTATAGACTTGCGAAAAGTTTGCGGTGGTCTTGCCAAGGTGGAGATTAAGATTATAATACAGCAAACATATACAATCATTTATTGGATGCAGTAGTATATACATGTGTAAAAGAAATCTTTATTTCACTTGCGAGAGTCACGGCAAACGTTTTCGGGATTCATGCAATCATAAAGTTGGATGCGAGAAATCGCGCTAAGGGATGTTTGAGAGAAAAGTTTCTCTTGAAACTTAACATATCGTATTTTTGAATATGTATAGTTAGACTGAAAAACTTCTCTCGGCTTTATGAATATGCGATTATTGGATATTGCGATTCGCATGTGCATCAAGGAAACTCACACGCTAGTCTTTGCGAGATCGATTGCGATTCTCTCATCTCGCGATTCGAGCCATTCCGTGAAGGAAGCAGGAGGGGAAAGAGAGGGAAGATCGAATGAAAAATGAAAGCTTACGCTCTGGGATGATTACACTCGGTGGTTTCGGGTTCCTGCACTTGAATCCTGGGTCGTGGCAGATTCGGTGGTCTCGCTATGCCATCCTTGGCTGCGGTCTTTGACGTAACCTGACACGTGATAAATCGTTTTAATACAAAGACTACGACGGCGACGCGAGATCGTAATTCCGCGAGTAGATGGCTTAAAGAAGCGTTAAGAGAATTTAGTTACTCGTCTTTAGGAAGGAAACTTTATCCGTCCCGCGTTCCTCTCGCGTCGTCTTCTATTTCGAGAGCGATCAGTTCACCGGAAGTTATTAGTGGGCGCACCTTCAATACGATTCTGTTCCGAATGACTTCATCGGACTTCTTTAAGTGATCGTTAAATTTATTTGTCTGATTGTTATTTAATTTATCATAAATAAATTAAATAATTGACAGCTGCATACTCGTCAGATTCCTTTAAGTGATCGTTAAATTTATTCGTCTGATTATTATTTAATTTATCATAAACAGATTAAATAATTGATAGATGCATACTTGTCATATTCCTTTAAGTGATTATTAAATTCATTCGTCTGATTATTAATTAATTTATCATAAACAGATTAAATAATTGACAGATGCATACTTTTTATATTTCTTTCCCGAAGCCACGTATATATTTTTGCAAAAATTTCTCAAATTATAACATATATTTTTTTTAATTTTCTGACACGTGATACGTTTATGTCAAATGTATTTATTGCTATTATAATCAAGTTATCGAATCAGGACGCGCGAATTGATGCTAAGTATGTATATGCACTTCTATGTCATTGACAGATTCGTTACTCGTAATTAAACGATATTGATTTATCGCGCGACACGGAACGGAATCGGGACCTTCATTCAGATCGTCGTCCGCAGATTACTAATCACCTGGGACGTGGAGGCAATCCCGGCCATTCGTTTCCGTAGCTCGTTCAATTGCAGCTCCTGCTGAAAGCTGACATCGCTCTCCTGCGACTCCTCTCGCCTGCCGCCCTCGATCGATTCGGCCGAGTACTCGACCTGGATCCAGGGACAAATCGTCGGCGACGATTGCAGCGAGCCTTTGCTTCCGGGTCGGGACAGGCGCGGAGAGAGTCGTCTCAATAACGACACGAGTTTCGATCTAAGACGATACTTTTATCTTACTCCTAACGATATCTAGCATGGTAAATGCGAGCAAAATGTAGCCAGAAAATTTTTTTTTAATTACATTTTTTAATTTTTAATTTTTTTTATCAAATGTGTCTTTTTTAAATAGCCACGTAAAATTTAAAACTTTATGAAATATTTCGATGTATCACGTAATTTTCAGGTATTGACAATTATTTTCCGCGGCAGTTTTAGTTACATTTCCACCGAGTTGTACATTTTTATCGCGTGTCTTTCGAACAAACATCATTTTTTTTAACAAATTAATTGCCATTTCCAACGTAATTCGCGTTTTCCCGGTATGACTTCATCGCGATTCACTCGCTACATTCAATACTAAAGTCTCCCTTCCTCTTTCCATCATTAAATCTGCTGGTTTCCTCTTGACTCACGTCTTTACCGTTATACTTTTCTACTCATCTACCGTGCGAAACAGCGGCCGCCCCGTTTCGAATAAGCTTATCATAAATTATTCGCTTTTGTTGCGTGCGCACGCGAAGCACACGAATTAGCATACCTCGTGCTCGGCGTTTGGAGATGATCGGAAGTGAGAGGCGCGCTCCTGGAAAGCTGCTCGGCACTTCGCGTCGCGTCCCTCCAATGGAGCTGATTGGAGCCGAAAGTGACAGATCTTCCTACCCTCCAGTCCAGGCTGCTACTCTGTCTGGCTTGCAGATCTGAAAATGGAAACCGATAATCGATCCATACGAGAATTTTAAGAGCCGTGATTTTTTTTTAGTACACACACTAGTTGCAGTAGAGCGATTTTATGCAAATTTCATTTGCATATTCATAGGGGACCGTGAAATATAATATAATTCACATTTTCAATGAAGAATAAAAAAATGCGAATTTTTAAAATAAATAAAATAAATTATATAAAGTATTATAACTAAAAGGATTCAAGCGTAAGAGGATTAAAGAGAGAAAAATTGAATGTCTGATGAAATTTAAAAAAATTAAATTGCTATTGAGTAATCGTGAGCTCCCCCAGCTCGCTAATGATTTTATGAGTCACAGTTAATGGATTACCTTGCTCGTTGGCGGTCTGGCCGACCCTCCAGTCCAGAGAATTACTATTTCTATTCACGCTATAAATGTTATCACAGGATTTGGTGGCAAGGCATGTCGCGTGATGACGACGTCTCAGCAGTCTTGATACTGGTCCCAAGTTTCTACAAAAAAATTCAGCATTTCTTAGATTCGCGCCAAAAAAAAAGAAGAGACTTTGCAAAAACAACGCTTTTATCCTTTATCAAAGTGACGTAAAATAATAAATCGAAGCGTTATAAAAAAATCGAGCGAATGTTATCTCGGTAAAACTGATATTTCGCTTTATCGCGAAAGAGATAATTCTCTCGCGACAGAGCGATCAAAAATGTACTAACTTCTTGAAGCGTCGCGTCTGCTCGATCGGCGGCTTGTTCTCGGCGGTCGATCCGCTGGTCGTTTCCGGTTCCGGGCAGTAAGTGCCTACTCGCACGTGGCTATACGTAGCACGCAGCTGCACCCCGTCCAGCGGCCGGAAGTTGCTCCGCTCGATGGACGAGACGCGCACAATCTCGATCTTCGGCCGCGCCTCACCTCCGCTTTTCCTCTCCATGATCGACTGATGTAACGATCTGATGTCGATCCCTCCGTCGTCCTCCCTCGACGACGACAACGAAATCCACCGACGCGTCGAGAGTTCAATTGCTCTCGACCTTATTGCCCGTTCGATCCTCCCACATCGTATCTCCGCATCACGGAGGGAAACCGCTACGTCACGTCAAAGCCTTCGACATCACCTCGTACTTCCTTATCTTCCTTATCTTTGCGATTACGCTCACGTGTTACTATTTATCGTAAAACCCGCTCCTTTCACTTTTACGACGACGAGACCAGAGATAAATACGTTGACACACGAAATATTTGCATATAAAGTCGTGTAAAACTGGAAATTCGAAGCCTACGATTTTTCACATTTATATCGGCGGTAGAAAAGAGATGGGAAAATTATTTCGATGCACGGATCGCCGTGATACTCCCTCGAATCACAAAGTGTCTCGATCGGGTCATGATTGACATGAGAGCGCGACGCAATCCACGTGCGCAACGTTACGTCACGGTCGTTTTGACAGTTGCCGCTTCGAGCTTCCTCGCGCGACGAAGTCGAATCGCGGATTGAGTCTTCCCGATCTCGCGATCTTTTTGGTGTTGGCTGATATCACAATAGGTGGTTGTTTTTATCAGAGCGAGTTCGATTCACTCTTCTTTTCTCTCTCCCTTCTCTCTCCCTTCTCTTCCTCCTTCTCCTCCTCTCTCTCCCTGCGTCGCGAGCCAGGAGGGAGAAAAAAATGCGCGGGTCACGTTCATTCATCCCACGGAGAATGCTACGACGTAATTATCACGCTGCGTGATCGCGATGCACGCGAGCAAGCGTGCACACACGCTCCCGCCACTCTAATAATTGAAATATTCGCGTGTGCGTGTACGTGTCGCGAGATCTCGCCGTTTCTGACACTTTTCAAATTAACGTTTCTGGATCATGCCGTTTCGCTCACACAGACTCACGTTGACACTTACAATCGTTCCCTCGATTAGATATTTTTTTTCGGTAAAAACAAGCAGTTCTGTGAAAAATTCATCGAACACTTCCAAGCCTACTTCCGGCACATGATAGTCGACGCTTTCCGAATTGGCACAAACACACCGGCACATAGCACTTCTCTTGTGTAAAATGTTAAGAGGAAGAAATAAACTCGATTGAACATAATCAGATATAGATTGATTATTTGAAAAAAATTGTTATTTTTTGTTCAATGAAAAATTTTCGCGGCGTAAAAATTCGCTGCTTATAAATGCGTATTACATCAATTGGCACATGTCAACGCGTGTGGGCGCTTAATTACAATTTCTGCGTGCGCGTTATATTGTCTCGCGATTGGAAAATCGAACTCGGATATCAGACGTCCTACTATTTAAAATGATGGCCACACAGTGAATGCGGCTATTCACTATTCACACGACACACGGTCCATCACGTCTCTTTTCTCCCTGTTTTATTTCTCTATCTGGAACGCGGCTTCCCCCTCTTTGTCGATAAAATGTAACGATGTTCGTCCGTTCGACCCAAATTGTGACTACTTGAAATAATGCAAGTCAATCGACGGAGATCGAATTAATTTTGAGCGCCCCTTTGGTTTCTCGAAGGTAAAATCCCACAAGAGCTATTTGAACGAAACTTGGGCGATTTTGAAACGCGTCTCTAAAAACATGATTCTGATTTTATAATTAAAAAAACTAAATTATTATATATTAATTTTATATTATTAGATTCTCGCTCCCTCTCTTATTTTTATTACGCTTACAACGCATCTCACTCGATCGCGCATTTAATCGACTTTTTTTATTTACACGTGGACGATTTTTTTTGAAAACAATGACATTATTATCGGCATTGCGAAACTTGGCACTTTCATCTCGCGCTTAATTAAAATTTCCAGCTAAGATAATTATTTAAAAATATCTTTCTTTCCAGAATCTCCAATTCTTTCGAAAGCGTCTCTTTTAATCCGTGCTCCAATTCCGTTTTTCTCTCATTCCAGAAATTCTATGGTTCACACTCGTATTCGGAAAGGTCAGACGAGTATGTTCTAAAATCGCGTATTAAAGGGCTAAATTTATCCGCGAGGACGCGCACAAAGTCCGGTTTCTCTCCATTTTTCGACGACGTCAACGATCCAACCGCCATGGAATTCCTCTAGGAATGGGAAAAAGGGTCATGCCAGGAATGAATTGCGAGCTTAATTATCGTGTCGACCGTGTCGTGAACATAATATCGCGAGCGGAATTACATCGGTGGGCGATGTGGAATGCGTTTCCGTCTTCTTTTCCGCGCATTGCGAGGAATGCAAAAAATTGCAAGTTGCATCACACATCGCAAGGTCAATATTCAAATGCTAGTTTGCCTCGAGAATAAGATCGGGGGGGGGGAATTCAAGCGCGATTTCAATTCGCGCGTTGCATTCATACGTGCCTTGCAATCCACGTAGATGCGTTCACACGATATAAATATGCTTCTATCAATTAAATCCAATTACGTTGTCATCATTTATTTTTAATCGCATCTAGTTCAAAGAGAATATACCTCTCGGCTTTATAAGCGTAGTTTTCTGGAAAGGTGCTCTTCCGACTTGACTGTTTCTAATTGAAAACGACTTATCTCGCGACGACAAACTTCGTTTTATCTCTACTGGAAATCGGATCAGTGCTTCTTTTAATTACATCATCGTTGAAAACGGTCCAAGTAGAACGGCGAAAAGAAAAGAATTTTTCTCGCGAGGATCGTTTAAAGGTGACATTTAATTCAGGAAGACGATTCTGTGCAACGTTAAATTGTAGGCTGCAGTCAACAACGAATGCCTGAAAAGTTGTTTGTAGAATGAAGCTAATGTCGAGTGATTATAAACGAGTCATCGATATGGTAAATTTAAATCGATGCTTTTCAATGCATCATTCCTCTTGTGTCTCTTTTCGTTTATAAGAATCCAGACGAGCGACCAAGAGGACTTAAAATTCTTTAAAGTTCTCAATATGAGGCAAAAACAGGCGAAAATACAAAATAAATATATGAAATTACAAAGATATACACAGAAAAAAGGACATTCTTGTTTTGGAAATATCTTTAGTTTTAACATGAAAATCTTTAAATGAGATTATATTGCGTTAATTAAAGAAAAATATAATTAAATAATTGCTTGCTTGAATGAAGCCGTTTTATATAGTTCAATCGAGAAAAATATATTCTTATGTGTGATTTAAGATTTAATTTTCTTGAATAGAAAAGAAACAATTAGGGTAGAAAAGTTTAGTTAGATAGAAAATAACATTTTTAAATCAAAGATTATAATTTCCTTAAAGTAGAATTAAATAATTATATATTCTTGAGGTGACAATTACAATATTAAAATAAGACTATAATATTGTTGAAATTTAAAATTATTAAATTCTTCTTTTTATTATTTACTTATTTTTTTCTGTGTAGACTTGGATTATTATATCTCAATCAGACATAAAATAATCTACATTTATACATATATATCTTTGTCATTTTTGATCAATTCTAATTATATGAATTGCATTTCTCTAAAACTTCACAAATGTCGCTCGTTTGTTTCATAATAAAATTAGAACACGGCAAACTGTTGAAGAAACGCTGACGCGAGGATTTTTTTCTTTTCAACGAGAAGTAATTACAGCAGATAGGCTTCTACAAAGTCTCGTTGCGGACTGCAAGTCTTTTAAAACGGATTGCGAAGCAGTACAGCGTGAAGAAACGAGTTTGTTGTTGCACTGCTTGCGTTTGCCGTTTTGACAGCGGCTCCGTCGCTGTCATTTACGACAAAGGGATCCAGATACGGTAAATTAATGAGTCGCACAAAGGAAGGGGACCATTGTGCCAGGCTGTATCGCGACGTTGCATCGCGATGATAAATACGTAGGCGAAGATTTCGAAAGGCGCGGTCTGATCAAGTACGAGTGGAAACTACTGCGACCAAGCGTGAGCCGCGAACTGACATTTACGCGCGAACAACACGCTTGCTTTTATCAGCCTTATCGGAGGACCTCCACAACGTCGTTCAGCGATGTCTCGTGTATAATTCGAGCCGTTGAATCGTGAAAGGAAACACCCGTTACTTTGAAGTATATTTTTAGATCTACGTAACTGTATCAAAGCCGCTCCGATATCAATTTTTATTTCGAATGCGGAAGTAAGATTAGAAAAAAAGAGAGAAAACAAGAAATAAGTTAGCCGTCAACAATAATGAAGTCAATCGTGCGTACGATATATCTACGAGACCAACGACTTTAAATATATATTTACATGTAAACATAAGACACACTGCGCAGGGAGAACACTTTACAAGATGAGTCAAAAGAATAACGAATAAAAGATGTTGGATGTTGGACGATCCAGCCGCTGGACTTCCAAGGGTCTCGATAATGTAAATGTAATGTGTAAACCGCACACTTAAAGGCCGTAGGCGTCGGCCGTTCTACGTCCACGTTCGGCGCGTCACCGGGATTCACTGCTGGCTGCGTCGCTTCGCTCCAAGCCACGAGGAGACGAAGGAAGGGGAACGAAGAGCTCTCCGTCAGCTCTATTACACATCGGTGGCTTTTTGGAGCGGCGAAGAAAAATGTGTAATTAAAGCGTAGCTACCTGTGTAGCTGTGTGCCGACGAGCGTTATGCTTTAATAGGGACGAGGGAGGATTGTGCGCGCGCGCGCAAACCCAGGCCCAAGCTATTATTCGCTTAGGGTATGTGAAAATCTCCAGTGGCCCTTATATTCTTTTTTTTTTTCTTTCATGACTTGGCAACACGATAAAATGATACAAAGGCTACTTGAAAGCAGCCCACATTCTATTATATTTTTCATCTAGTTGCAGAAAAATTTATAAAAATGGATATAATGTTAAATTAAAAAAAAAAATCTCATGCTATTACTTAAATCTTCTCTAGAGTCCACTTTAGATGATTTATAATTCGCGATAAAATTCAAGACAGGAAAATCTATTTATAATTTCATGTGCTGATCTCTTGTACTTTATCCGACATGCATATATTTTGTATACTTCAATTCTTCGAATGTATATAATGCAATATTACAGATGAATATTACAGATTCACGAATTATACATATATTATTTACAGCGGATTGTAAAGGAAAAATTCAAAAAATTCGTAGATCGTTCGTTAAGTCTAGAAAGAAGAAATTAATGTTAATCTCTCCTCAAGGCACGCGATAAATATGTGCTGTGAAAAAATTCTCTTCGTTTTTATCATCTTTAGGATCGACGATAGGTCAGTCCTTTCGTGTGGAAAATGTTGCAATAACGATATGGCTCGTATTGAAGTACCTGCGACGCATTTGCCAAGGCTATGATAAGCACTTTTAAATTGATATGCGATGTTTATCCGCGTAGCGTTGAGCTTTGAATTTCTTTTGTTCTTACATGAAAACAGCGTGCTCGTAATGCGAACATGCGTCTTTAATATTATAATCTACCTCCTCCGTGAATTATACGAATCCATTTTGTATATTACATAGAACGTCCCACCCTAGAAAATGCACGTTTTCCTTTCATCTCATATTAAATTGCAACTGTCAGACTTTAATTCGCATCGAATTTCTGTCGTTTTCCGTGATAAAAGCGTATCTGTTTACGAGTATTTAATTAAGATACATACTTGTATCTGTTATATATATATAAAAAAAGTTGAGAGAAATTCAATATCAATACATCACGTGAAATCCCGTCAGTCGAAGTAGAAATTACATTGCATACGTGAAAATCGCAAAACGAATATCAAATATAATAACTTGTCATATAAATCCAACATTCTTTAATGAAGAGAATAATGATAGAATAAATTTGCAAAATTAAATTTTCAAAAATTAAATAGATTCCTTTTTTTTAATAAAAAATTTAGAATAAATAAAAAGTACGCACACACATACGCGTGTGTGTATACTTTTTATTTTTCGATATCACAAAAAAATAAAAATTGCGTAGAGACTTGATTTAAGAATAAGTTGCGAGGACGTTTTCATTAATCAACGAATAATCGATCCGCTTATTTTTATCGGAGCACTCAGAGTCCTCTTGCATAGACATCAGAGCGAACCGTGTAATAAATCTATTATTCGATCATTTTCAGCCGATCCCTCTCCCTTTGCGCTACTCGTAATAATTTTATGAAACGAACCGACAACAGTTGGAAAAATATTTTCGCGACCAACGCGGTGAAAAGAGAAAGAGAGAGAGAGAATTCTGCGTCGTGGAATCTTGTCCTGAAATATAACGTGCGTATAACACGTGTTTCCACAACGTTAAAACGCGTGTGCCAATCTCACGTCGAGCACGTATTGTTTCCGAGGAAACGACGAATCGTTTGTTTTGCTCCGATTTTTACGCGAAAGCAACGAAACGATAAATAACTCTAAAAAATATTATAGATTCACGTAAAAATTTTTGAATGTAACAGAATAGTAGAAAATATCTTACATTCTTATTATCGTGCTACGAAAAGTAAACATGAAAAATAATTAAGATTCTGCAAGCACGATATAATAATAATGGGCGTAATTATGAGGCCATTGTGAGGAATTAAAGGATAATAGAATAAGTCGTAAATCGTTTTCACGGAAGAACGAGAAAGCCAAGTGATTGACGAGTATTTAATTCCGATAAAAAACATGCGTCTGATAATATTCGTGTTGCACAAGATTCTGAGAACTCAAATATTTGCTCGTAAAATGTATTATGCGTTACGCATGCTGGAAATCACTACAACAGGAACAGCAGTAATGTCAGTTGTCAGCAACGCAAAAAAAATCGATGTAGTATATATATATTTTTTAAAGTTGAGAAACGCGCGCGAAACAAACTTGGAAGTTTCTATCAGTCTAGAAGAGTCTGTATCTAATGCCTTCAAATGTCGCACATCAAAGTGACATGCCAAGCACATCTCATGCAATCCGCGACACGACGCGAAATACGATAGATATTTACACCGAAAATTGTGTCCACAATTATGCGTTAAATTCAGAAATTGCGCATTCATAATATGCAGATAGACGAGAGAAACAAAAGAAAAAAAACGGAGATTCTTTTGAAGACACGATACAAACTCATTCAGCGCGTTCCATCCCGACGCGCGTCCCACCCCGAGATACGTACATCAGTATCGCGACGACGCACTTGACGGTATCCTGCGGCGACGTCATCGAGGGATGATGCTGTTTGCCGAGCCCTACCCGCAGCTCGACAGCCAGACGGTGGCCGCTCTCCCGAGAGTCGCCGACACGAGGAATGAGGCGCTCAACTCTTTCGGGACACCCTCTGGAGGAACACACACCCTCGTTGGCGTTCACTCCGCGAGATATACCGTAAACACTGTCGTTCCGCGGATGGATCTCCGGATATCGCGAGCATTTCCAGGAACGATGAAATGTTTACATGTGCCTGTCGCTCTATTTATGTATGTATAAAAGGCGCGACACGACAATACTCTCTCTCATTCCCCGCTCTGTCCGATCTGTTCTCTCTGGAAGGTCGCAAATAGGTCTCCCTCGCGGATACAGGCTGTTTTATACGTCCCTCTTTTTTGGCGGGAGGAGCAGAGACGTTGATACACACTATGAAGAGCGAAAGACGGTCAGGGGGAGGCAAAGACGAAGAGCGAAAGAGAGAGAGAGAGAGAGAGAGAGAGAGGGGAGGAAGGGAAAGAGAGTGTATGTCTGGGCAACCCTCGCCTCTCCCTCTCTGCTCGTCGGCCCTCCCGCCTTTGGTACTTCGATCGCGACCATCCGCGGGATGCTGTCGACTACTGCACGAGATGCATCGAGAAAATCCCTACGTTTTCCATGCCCCTCCCGACCTGGCGGGCCATCTCGCTCCACGGGCCTGCGCTCTTCGGATGATGTCGCCCGACGACGTCGTCGCGACGCTCGCGTCGAGACGCCTCGAATTGACAATGTTTTTTTTGTACTTCTAAAGAAAAAATATAGAATTAAATGCGATGTTTCTAATAGAATTATTGTCTCCGAATTAAAATATGATGTATTACAAGATTATCTTGAAATAAAATCGCAAACAAAAAACACTTATAATGTATAATAATGAAAGATAATCGATGTATTAAGCACCGTACATCAACAAAACACTTGGCACATCGTGGTTCACTTAATCTTTATTTCATATTTGTACACGCCCTTAGCATGCCACATACAATCAATATAATACAGTCCAACGCAGCCAAGGTAGAAGTAAAATACAAAAAATATATATATATATATATTTATATATTTATATATGTATACTCTACGCCGAGAGATATTATTGTTACCACGATGTGTGTGTTATAACGTTGAATATATTAGATGAATAGTAGCTAAGAGTATAATACAAAGAAGAGTGCTGTGGATACAGTAGGACACGTAATTCGGATTGAATGTGGTGCGATTTCACGCGGATCTTTTGCGATCTATCGATCTTTCACTCTTTCTCTCCGTAACCATAATCTCGATTAATAAAAACTCTCGCATTCGGTCAACTATATAAATGTATAAACTAAAAGAAAGCAACGAGTTTTTCCTAGACATTGAAGATCACAGTTCGGCGCCGTGTTTGCCCGTCCGTAATCTACATACGCAGAGAAACGGAAGAACGATTTAGCGTCCGACCTTCGCGTGAAGCATACTCAACGAAAGCGTAGAAGTTTCCTAGCCGGTTGTTAAGTATGGCATGAGAAAGGTTCGACCGCGAATTCGGGAAATTTCTTCTTCCAAGCGCAAACGTTTTCCGAGCCTAATCGTCTATAATTAAACGTCCTGTCAGTTCACTGTATCGTGTCGCATTTCGAGCTTTTACCGCTCGTTTCAAACGGTCCGAGATCTCTTGCGACTGGACAAAACAAAATTATAATATATATAAACTATCTCGATTCTATCTCGATGAAATGAATTAATGAAATAACTTATAACGAATTCGCCGACACGTTATATAAGAGAAAAAATAGCTCGTGATATAACAATGTTGGACATTCGCCGGGAAGATTAAATAAACTCATTTAAAAGTATGAGAAGAGAGAAGTTTATGTAAATAACAATAATTCTCTGTCAAAGATTGTAACATGCGACGAGCACGTAAATCTCGTCTAACTGCTAGCGAGTTAATATACTCTTAGATACATAGTTCGCATATACAATTCTTTGGCCGTCAATCAAAGACGGTCATCGGGAAAGAGATGTTCTCAGTAAAAAGAATGATCATTACTGGACGTAAAATCGATCGCTACTCGACGAGCGTGATCCGATGTAATTGTTTTTTTTTTTTTTTCTTTTTTTTAACATACATACTGCTTACACAGCCATAAGTTTTCTCAAACTCGGCACGGAGACGCCTTCGTCGCATACTCTTAACGCGCGTAACCGGTAAGCATTTATGGCAGCGTTATGAGGCCTGCTTAAGGGTATAGCGATCGCCGTAAAAATGAAAAAGAACTTAACCCAAAACGATGAAACGACAATAAGACAATAGTTCATGAGAGTCAAACCACGTCAAGTCTTGTCAAGCGGTTTTTTCGCAATCGCCGTAAAAGGATTCCTCTGCACGATTTAAGACGAGAAACTGAAAAAATCGTTTGAACGATTGACATAACTGTATTAACAATATAACGTAAATGAATAATTAACGTAACTCAACTAAAATATATATATATATATATATATATATATATATATATATATCGCATAATCTGACTTATTCCTCATCTAGGCGGGCGGCAGGAAAACAAAACGGAAAAAAAAGAAAAGGCGGTGGTAGAGCAGAGATTTATAGAATACATCATTATCATATTCTTTCCTGGTTTCTTCATCAAATATAATTATTCAGATGAAAAGCAGACTCAATTGAAAAACAAAGAAAACAAAATTGTAATTAACGCAATGATCGTATTTAATTTAACGTAATTAAGTCCCTTTGCCATTTCACTTTTAGATTTTTGCCATTAATTGACGTATGCCTTTTTTACAAACTCGCGATAAATAAATTATCCCTCTTCTTTCACTCTTGCTCTATCACCCTCTTATATCTCCCTTTATATCACGTTTACGCAGGATGGTCCTTGTATTCCGTTGGAACGCATGCTCTCACTCGCGAGATTTCTCTCCGACCACCTCGTAGATGACATGTTCTCTAATTCCTCTATCTTTTACGCGCGTGTACATGTATGTATGTGTGTGTATGTATCATTTTGTGTGTGTGTGTGTGTGTGTGTGTGTGTGTGTGTGTGTGTGTGTGTGTGTGTGTGTGGAATATATATTTTTCTCTCTCTATATTTTATAAAATACATTAGTTTACAAACAACGTGGATTAAGTGTCGACGCCCTGCGCGGGAGTCATCGCAGCTCAGACTCGATCGTGGAAATTAAGGAGTATGAGGGGGGAGGGAATGAATTCGGGAAATGCGTGTGCATATTTATAACGTAAGTTGAGTTTGGAAGAACGGCAGTACTCAAGTTCCACGCAATATATTCGGTCGCTACCGCTCGAACGCGCTGCATATTCAAGGTTCAACAAACTCTTCTCGTATCTCCTCGTTTAGTAAAATCCGTCTGGATCGATTGTCAGGTCGTCCTACGTAACGCTTTGTCGAAAGGGATGAAATTCTTATTTATAAAAGACGCTTCCTGTGGCATTTTTGTCTCTATCAAACTATCGAATCGCGAAATTGTTACAATCCGGCAATATTATACGAGCGTTTTAACAACGTGTTAACGTGAAACGATTCCGATATTAGTCTAAGTTAATGATGTATACGGATATTTCAAGATCGATGCGTTTTTCGCACACGGATGTACGTATATTCGGAGACGATAGAATTCTAAAATAGCATTTTTCGACGATCTCCAAGTGGGATTTTCACACACAACTAGAACTTAATTACATATATTTAAACACGCTACTATGTGTCGCGTATGGGGAGCTGCTCAAACACTGTAGCGCTTTACCTGCAATTTTTATGCAACAAGCGAAAACTACATCGACGAAACGATAAAAGCTCTCGATAAATTTGTAATCGCAATATTGCCTATAGTCTACGCCTATCATCTTTTTCAATAACGACCGATGACCACGGAAAGAAAAAGGGATTTTTTTTCTCTTCGTAACAAGATCGTTTAACGGAGCTGTGCGACCGATTGGCAAAGACGTCGATCAAGAACAATAAGACTATCTCTTATCGTGCTACATACATATTTACAATTTCTCTAGCATTGCACGCTAGAGCGCCTTTCTCCTTCGCGTCCGAAACCTGCACTAGCATAGGAAGCAACAGGAAGGAATCTATTCAGAGAACGCATCTTTTTCTTTTGCTCAGCTGCTACAGGATAAGTTCTCTTTTATCGAAACACTATTAAATAAATATACTGTCTGTAAAAACATCAGAGTAGAAGCGCCGCTTTTAAAAGCCCCATAAAAGCTTCAAAAAGTCACTCTTTCTTACATAGACGTCAATATATTCGATATAATGCGATAGTGCATGCTGCGGACGTATCCACATTGAAAAGCAAGACCAAGTCATCGAATACTTTTCATCTATCCGCTTTGCCTTTAAATCTGTACAATTTTACTTTGTTGTCGCATTCGCCAGATCGATGTTTGCGCTGAATATGGAGAAGGTTTCTAAGATTTTTATTAGGCTATCGCGCGTAATAAAGATTTCAATTCAAACTCCTTCTTACTAACACGTTATAGTCTACCTTCTGCCTTTCTCTACTCGTAATTGATATTCGCCAGAACATTATATTTTTTTCAAAATAAATTGAAGTTATTAAATACATACTCTAGATTCTCTTCGCAATTAAACTACTGATAATGAAAAACGTTTTATGATCTAACGCTGGAAAGAAATCAACCGACAGTTCCGTTTGGCTAAATGTTTTATTAACTTTATTGATACTAATATAACTTTATTGATACTAATAAAGCAGTATATTTTTAAAGATGAATCGCCTTATTGAGTTAAATATAGTTCGATTAAATATAACTCGATTTTTCCTATTATAAAATGATTTTATGTTCTCTTTTCGAATGGAACATATAATTATTATTTAAAATTAGACTGAGAAAATGTCGCTTTAGGAAATTCTACAATGATGATTGATTTGTAATTAAAAGGAACTGTCGATCGATGAACCGATACGACAAAATATGTAAATGTAGGACAGTTTAATCGAAAAGTTTGACAAAAGATCGATGACAACAGATGAGTAGGAACTGCAAAAATACTGGCACAACGTTTCGCGTGCATCTGCCGTCGTCCATGTATTTTTATCATATGGCGAGGTAGATATGTGGGTAGATGGATTTGGGGCGGTTAATATAGACTACTTCGTAAAACTTCGATAGACTTCGTTGTAGTACGGTCTTTACAGATTAACGAAGGAGAGGAAGAGCGCGGAAAAATGTTGGGGAGGATAGGCATAACGAACGCATTCCCTCGTATCTTTGCGTTCACGCATCCGGAGTCGTCGCTATTTAACAACGACGTGTTCGGTTCGTACTGATTAGCAAATTGTTAATCGAGAAAAATAACGAATGGCTTTACAACGTCAGTATATTCTGGGACCACAGTCTCTTGCGGACCTTTGTCCTCTCGTGTCCCTACGTATCCCTTAAACAGAGAAGCGTTGATTGTTTTCTGCACGAATTTGCCGTGAAAATATATACGCTCGGGAAAGAGAGAGCATTACCTCAGAATAACCTTCTCCATTAACATAGACAGGCGTCCTTCCGAGTGATTGGGCGGAAGTAGGGATTTTATGAGTTCGCGAATAAGGGACTCTGTCATTCCTGGCGACGTACGTTCCGCCGATTCAAAAGCGCCCCGCAATTCTTCAATAGCACCGCCATTCTTGCTACCGCTACCACCTTCGCCATTATTGTCTCTCGCCGAATATTGGTGCTTTCGTTGAAGCTGCAGAATTATTAGAAACAATTACTATAAGATCTTTACATACATTTATACTGTTATCATTCTATATGTAATTCATTATATACCTCGGAAAGCAGAGGAATGACAACACCAGACAGAGCGACGCTTCGTGGATGTTTCAGTTCCTGCGAACTTCTAGGCCTCTGCTTATCCTCGCCGGGTCTGTGATCGGCCATCGAAGTGATGGGCACTTCCGGCTTGCTGTTTCTCCTCTTCTCCCGTGTGTTAAAGTCCCTACTGGTTCTATCCCGATCTCTGCCTTCTCTATCTCGTTCTCGCTCCCTGACACCTTCTCTATCTCTCTCGCGGGCGTCGCGCATCTCCTTCGGCTCTCTAAGAGTGGATTCTCGACTCAAATCACGGTAGTCTCGTTCGTCTCGTTTCTCTCTCGTATCCACTGGCGGTGGAGGCGCAGCTTCGTGTGGTCGGGACTAAAAAAGAGAAATAGAAAAAATATAAACATGAAATATCGCACAATAAAAATCAATCGCATATAAAACGTACCGGCGTATGTTTCGCTTGACCATCGCGCAACGAATCTCTGGACTCGCTTCTGTAGTGATTAAGCGTGGTGTCCTTCGGTGGTGATCGCGAAGCACCATTCGCGTGCGGTTTACTCGGTTGGTTGTGATTGGAGGACCTGTGATTTGTGTGCGTTAGGGTCAAGGATGCGGGTTGTTCATCCAGTGGCAACATAGGCACCACAGATCCTTTGACCCCGTGTGGGCCTTTCACCGTCATTATCCACGGCTCGTCCATGTCGCTGTCTTGCTTGGATTCCTCCCTGAACACCGTGTAATACAACGTGTTACAATTTACTACTGCGGTTCTTCAAATCTAATCTATTATACCGACTCATAAATGATTTCAAACAGGTTCTTTTTCTTCTTACACGTTCAAGATATAAATTTATTATGGAATTAACGCAGCAGAAAAAAGTTCCCAATGTGCGTAACATAAAGATAGCAAGCGGTCGGCTTTTACTTTCATGAACAGATGAAACGTGAAGAGAAACGCGAGAATGGAGATACTCACGAGTCCGAATTCTCACTCTCAGTCTCCGATTCTTCGCTGCGTTGCGATTTCCACTTTTTGTACCTATCGATCAGGTCGATTAGATACGAGTTCTTCTTCGCCTTTCTGATAAACTGGAACTTTAGCAGCTCCTTTGCTGTCGGCCTCTATACAAGCATAATGCGATGATCGATGAATAAAAATTAACCACTTTCTTTTGTCGAATTCCCTGATCTTTTAAATTAAATTTCTATTGGATTGTTTCTTTTGTTATCTTGTTTCAAAATTACTTCTTTAATCACAATAAAGATATTAAACTGTTCGACAGTATGAAACATATTTTCGAATAGATGAATTAATAAACTAATGACTTGAAACGCAAACAGTCGTACATAACAGATATATAACGGTATACTCACGTTTTCAGGATCCTTATTGAGGCAAGCTTCGACAAACTCCTTGAACTGTTTCGTGTAGTTTCCGGTCAGTTGAGGCGGATTGTTCTTGGGTATTAGGAAGAGGACCCTCATGGGATGCAATTCACTGTTGGGAGGCTCTCCTTTCGCGAGCTCGATCGCCGTAATGCCCAAAGACCAAATATCAGCCTGCAGAATGATCGTTCACAGAGTTACTACTACTGGCATTCAGATGAAGCGCTAACGATATGCTAATGAAAACGTGACCGCGCTACTTTTGGGGATAATTTTCTAAAGTGACAAAGCTTTGAAGAAAAATGAAGAATAAGAAAAGCAAAATAACGAGCATTAAATTTAAATCTAATTAATAAAGCGTTAGTTATATATCTTATAAAAAATTAATCGTAACATTATAGTAATAATCTCTTAACATATGAAGAAGAAAGAAACAGCGCATTATATATTCTTTTTAATTTTAATTTTAAAATACACACGACTTACAATTTATAATTAATATAATTACCTTGGAATCATAAGCGGATTGTTTGATGACCTCGGGTGCCATCCAGAACGGCGTGCCGACAAAAGTGTTTCGTTTGCTGGTAGTGTTTGTCAATTGACCAGCTACACCGAAATCGGCCAGCTTGACGTCGCCCATTTCGCTCAGCAATACATTTGCCGCTATAAAAATACAAAAAACTCACATTAATTTCTTATTTACAAAACAACTAATAAAAATAAATAAATAAAACAACTAATAAATTAATAAATGAAAAAAAAAATTAATAATGAAATAATATCTTTTTTTCAATAGAGAGAAAGGAATCTATCATCGCAGTTAATTTCCTGTGAAATTTAGTTAAATGAAACGTTATAATCAGCATGATATATATTTAGCATCTTGCTCAAAATTATCTTGTACGAAATGTTTTGGCGCCAAGCGTTAAAGTGTTAATCATAAATATCTTTCGAACGTTATCGAGCGTACGTACCTTTAATGTCGCGATGAAGCTTACGCTCGCTGTGCAGATAATCCAGCCCTTTGAGCACTTCGCGTAGTATCACGGCAATGTGCATCTCCTCAAAGCTACCGGCCTTCATCAAGTCCAGGGCCGAGCCGCCACCGAGGTACTCCATGATGATCCACAGCTTCGTACCCTATCGAGCAGAAGGAACAGAGATTGAGGATCGATTGAGAATTACTGTGGAAAGATTCATAACAGATTTGCGTACCGGCGATAAAAATCAAAGAGTCTCGGGTAGCCGCCAATTAACGAAAATAGATCGTTTCGCCGAACGATCGTTATTCCTGATCGGATTGAACCTTGAGACGTTAAGGAAACTATGATACAGCCACCTTCTACTGCATCGTGATATTTCTGACGCATTTTTCGCGCGTGACTACTCGAGAATTGCTGCTAAATTTCAGCAGTTTTTTTATATGCAAATTTTTCGAACTGTCAAAAATGGTTCAGCGATTTACGCGATTCAAAAAATAAAATTCTTGACACTAATTGTAAGAGATAATCGCGCGAGTGTGCATCATCCGGATCGTACTCTAAGAGACTCTGCGAGACAGATCGACTGCAAAGTGGCGATCAACGATACGGAGCAAGCAACATCCCGCTACGAGAATGAGACGACCTTTCCTCAACAACAGACGGCGATATGATTAATCCCGCGGTCGTCCCGGGTAATGAAGATTCATCGCTCCTCGAACAGTCGTAAATTATTGTCTAATACGAGGGTTGTTAAGGAAAGCGTCGTCGTTTCCTGCGGCCTATTAATTTTCCCCGAGCATGTTGCGCCCCAAGGTAACGCGCGTCAGCGCTGACCGGATCTTACGCGCGATAATTATATCCGACATCGATGACCAATCACTGTGCGACTTATCGGATAAAATAAATTATACAGCGCGCGTTGATGATGATAACGTGACGGTGGTGGTGGTGTAGCGCGTAAGGGCGATAAAACCGATGAGTTATCGCGCGTTAATAATCAGCACGATTCGAGCTAGTGATCCGAGGATGCCGAGGAAGATTTACACCCTTTGTTCACTCGATTATAAAGAAATAATTAATTGATCCCTTTCCCCCTCTCGGCCGCGGCCTTGCAATTACGCCGTGTGTACTATATGTCGCTCTTCTGCTCACCGCACTTTGTCTCCCTCGTCACCTCGTCACTTGCGAAGTGAAAGTAAATGTAGCTTTGAGAAACAAACTATGAGCCCTTTGCTATTTCAAAAATTCCGCAAACGGATTCGTGATTTATGATCGAATTTTAATTCCACAATTAATTATAATCTACGGTATTAATTAATCCGACAAACAAAATTATGTACAGAAGATTTTAAAATAAATATTCAGTTTAGTTTCTTACAAAAAAATCTATCCTCTTTGAAGATAAACGACGGGAGATACTACCTGCGAAAGTACATGTATCGTCAGATTTTTCATATTCGTCTACCTTTATGGAATATCCTAAGAATTCCCGAGAGAGACTTTATAAGTCTCGGCTCCGACTTTCGCTTGACGTGTGGTTGACGCGCGCCATCGTTTTATGGCAAATAATTTTCATAGTTTAAGCAGATCGACCGAGAAAGCACATTCGCCAGGATGGCGAATATAGCTCCCCATAAAATGGGCACTATTTATCACCGTCGGCTGGTCAAGAGGCTTGCTCGACGCCCCACTTTTTCCCCCTTTAGATCGTCTCGAGATAGGTGGCCGTCGTTGTCGTTGCACAAGGTTCGTTCAACCCGATTTTGATCGCCCATTTCTACGCGAAGAGGTTTGCTATGTCATTCCTCTTGTTCGATAGACCCTTTGTCTTCCTTCGTCCAGGAAGAATGATCGGCAGTTGGCCGATTTAACGAGAACGTTATCAAAGATATCAATTCGAAGATAATCATGAATTAAATTCCCGAGGGAGATGATAAGAAGGTAAATTGCAGGCAGGGTTAATCGACGGGAGTTAATGAGTCTTGCCAGAGCAAATATCGATCAAGAGTCGCGAAGCTGATGTTCATTTTTATTTGTTTCTCTTCTAAAATATATAATAATAAAGAATATATTTTTATTATTATATTATTTACATAAATAATAAATTTTTATCTTTTCCTTAAAATATATAAACAATAATTTTTATTTATGTAAATATATTTTATAAATATATACACAAATATAATTTAATTTTATAAATACTTTTTTTATTATGTGTGTTTGATTAATTATATCTTTTAGGGAAGAATTGATTAATTATATCTTTTAGGGAAAGTTTTCATTTAAGGATTCTAGGATTTATTTAAATCCTCAATTTTGGGATTCTAGGATTTATTTAAATCCTCAATTTTGCTACTAGAACGAGGAAAGGCACTTCCAAGTGATTTTCTTCACACAGTTCGACCCCATCATCGTCGATGACGATAACGAACTTTAAGGGGTCACTTTACATAACAGATTACGAATTCTAGCATTGCGAGGGAGCTATTATTAATCGGCCAATTTCCTAATGGTTTGGATCTCTCGGTCGACACGATCCGAGAATAGACTCTCGCCCCTCGCTTAGTCAAGAATTATTTTTCGCTCCTCTTCCCCACTCGTCCTCATCCGTACGCGGCAATTATTGTTAATTGACGGAACCCTGTAATCGGCCGCTTTCACTCTCGGCAAGTGACGACAGAAGCGCTTAATTTTAAGCCTCTTTGGGGGAGAAAGTCCATTCGAACACAGTAATTACCATATCGGCAATTGCGATCTTTTGTGAAATTAATCGGCGTTACTAGAATTTTCATTATATGCGAAATTTCTAATGCAATTTCTAAGAGATGAAGAGCAACTCGATATAATCGGAAAAAAGAAACAAAGCCAAAACCTTTGAAAATTCGAAGATGGAGGGAAAAAAGACTGATTTATTTGTGAATATGTTGTAATTTATCGATGTTTAATTCGGCATTTTAGTCGCGAAACGCCCAGCGTCAGGAAGAGGACGGAGCATCGTAAAACGAAGATTAATTCCGTCGCGTCGTCCATCAATGCCAACAGCACTCCTGCCATTTCGCGAAACGTAGGAACAAAAGGACATAACGCGCGTGCCAAAAAAGCAAAGAGAATTCGACCGGTCCATTAATCATCCATTCGCTGAACGCTCTCTTGTCTCTATTTTGCATGCCGTGTTGCATTTTGTACGATCCACCCTTCCCCTCTTCCTTTCCTTTTCCTGCCTAAAATGCGAGTGGTAAAAACCCATTTTAGACGGATCTTGTTTGAAGAATTTTTACAGTTTATTTGCTCGGCTCTCGTATATTACACTACTTTACATCTGTAATCTTTGCGACCTCGATCTAAAATGCTCTTATCTCTCATGACAACCTCCATGATAAAGCACAACATCACGTGTATCGCAGCAACGTAAGGTCGCCAAGAGTTAAAGCACCCTCTTCATCGATCCACCATTATCGGAGAACGTTTTCTAGAGTCGATAGCCACTGACCGTAAATCTCGCTACAAAGTAGAGGGAATGGTAAGAGAATCGCAGTGATTTTTACGGAAAAATTGACACGCGATCTACTCGATATTCCTCGAGCGAGACGCAAACTAGAAACGTAAACTGCGATTTTAAATTGCGTGCGCGTGTCGATGATTCCGTCTGCGAAATAGGAACGACAGGTATATGCGTTCTACATATTATACCGTACCGACATTCATCGGGTCGAAAAGCACAGGAGGAAGCCAAGTGGCAAAAATACCGTAATTTCGTCTAGACATTCGCCGAGACGAGTGCTCGCATAATATATATATATATAACTGGGCAATTATACTCATTCATTCATAAAATCTCGGCCGCATCGCTGTCGGGCATTGTCTTTTGTTCGATGCACAATGAACCGACTATAATGGAGTAAAAGAGTAGAAGCATCGCGGATTTTCGCTCATATTATATTATTGTCCAGATATAAGCGACGGATAAAAATCTGTTCCGTAAAAATTTCCGTTAATTATTATAATAAAATCCTGCAACGATACATAAAAAAATCCTGCAAACATACATAAATTTTATTCGATAATTCTTTTTTCATTAAAAAAAATTATCCAATAAAACTTATGTATTTTTTCAAAATTATTTCAAACACAATTTTGATAATAAAAATTAAAAATTAAATTATTAAAAACTGTGTGATGTATGTGCATGTATATGTTACAATATAATGAATAGTAAACAAAAAATATTATGAGCTACACGTGCAGGGTTTGCTTTATTAATCTGGCTACGACAGCGAAACAATATTTTTAGAAGATCGATAATAAAGCAATATTTTTAGCCGTCTCTCCAACGATGAGAGGACACGACAAAAGAATCCCGTGACGCCTTCATAATCGACGATACATCCGGATTGAGAAATCTGAAGGAGTGCCGCAAAGTATTGCGAGAGTCATCTTTAATTCAACTTATTCGTACATCTATGCATTTTTATACAAATTCCAGAGATGTACGAGAAATGTCAAACCCGAGTAATCTAGACAAAATTTTTTATGAAATTTAATAAGCAAATATAATTGTCGCGATTGCAACAATTTTGGCAAGATCATCTTACGTGAAATTAAAGTTTTTTTCACAATTTCTTTGAAAAATTACAATATACTATTACAATATATTACAATACACGCTCTAGTATCGCATACACGCAAGAAAAACTCGAATCTTTTTTAGCGAGAGAGTGCAATGAAAAGTTGGCGTTATAGAAACATACGGAGGAATTTACATCTGGCTCGCGAGCGAGGAGTGCCGTCGCCCGATAACCGTTGTTGACCGACTTGGTCTTAATAACAGTTTCCGAAGGTAGGAAAGCCGCGACGATCGAGGCGGCGGCCGCGGTATACACCCGTTATACGCGATGACATCAGGCGCGTAGACGGACGCGTAGGTACCCGCGCGCCTTCTTTCATCTCGCAACAATCGTCGATGTGTCATCATGAGATTACAAGATCGTGCCATTGTGCATATTGTGCGGAGGAATGGAAAAAATTCAACGACAAGAAAGAGGCAAGACGGATGTCTCGCTGAAGGCGTCGCGAAACCTTGCGCTTTTGACATTTATCAATCAGCTGTTACGCTTCGTTTCGAATCGAACGATTTTCTCGCGCCTTCTCTGTTTACTTCTCTCCCGCTTTTTGATTAAAATATTGAAACAAATTCGGAATTAATTATCCCGCAAAGACGGATATCTTGTTGAAGGTATCGCGAAACTTTGCGCTTTTGACATTTATCGATCAGCTGTTACGCTTTGTTTCGAATCGAACGATTTTCTCGCGCCTTGTCTGTTTATTTTTCTCCCGCTTTTTGAGTAAAATATTGAAACAAATTCGGAATTAATTATCCCGCAAAGACGGATATCTTGTTGAAGATGTCGCGAAACCTTGCGCTTTTGACATTTATCGATCAGCTGTTACGCTTCGTTTTGAATCGAACGATTTTCTCGCGCTTTCTCTGTTTACTTCTCTCCCGCTTTTTGAGTAAAATATTGAAACAAATTCGGAATTAATTATCCCGCAAAGACGGATATCTTGTTGAAGATGTCGCGAAACCTTGCGCTTTTGACATTTATCGATCAGCTGTTACGCTTCGTTTCGAATTGAACAATTTTCTCGCGCCTTGTCTATTTACTTTTCTCTCGCTTTTTGAGTAAATATTGAAACAAATTCGGAATTAATTATCCCGCAAAAATGGATGTCTTGTTGAAGATGTCACGAAACCTTGCGCTTTTGACATTTATCGATCAGCTGTTACGCTTCGTTTTGAATCGAACGATTTTCTCGCGCCTTCTCTGTTGACTTCTCTCCCGCTTTTTGAGTAAAATATTGATACAAATTCGGAATTAATTATCCCGCAAAGACGGATATCTTGTTGAAGATGTCGCGAAATCTTGCGCTTATCAATCAGCTGTTACGCTTCGTTTCGTATCGAGCGATTTTCTCGCGTCTTCTCTGTTTACTTCTCTCTCGCTTTTTGAGTAAAATATTGATACAAGTTCGGAATTAATTATCTCGCGAAGACAGCTCATTGAGTCAACATTTCGCGTCACTTCGTAATTATGTTAATGAGACGTTTATACACCTCCTTGCGTCGATGATTCCCCGTATCTCTTATAAGCGTCGCTTTGCAACATCATAATTGCGATCATTTAGCGTTTGCGCAATTATCTATGCAAACGTAAGCGTGAGGGGGAACGTTTCTCAGATCGCTACGCAAATTGGCGAGAGAATGTATTTCGAGTCGAGTTCGTTCACGCCCGCGAGAAAGCGACTAACGATCGTTAATGACCGTTTCGCGCGGTCGTTAAGAAAACTTCTCTCGGCCGAGCATTGGGAGGTGGCCGCTTTATTTCATAAGTAATCATATCGAGCTTTCGCGCAAAGCTCTTCTCGGTTATAAAAACAAGGAGGACGAAAAATAGAAGGACATGCAGTTAATTTATTTCCTTGTTTTGTATGCACAGTTTCGAAATCGACGCGAGGAAACGATAATCCGTCCTCACTCCTTTAGCTGCAATTAATGGTCCCTCAACAATTGTCGATAACGATCGCGCTGATCCTGTTTGTTTCCTCCTCTTCTCTGTAACGAGAGCTCTTTTCGCAAGATTTACGATTTATTCGTTGTCATTATAGCGTCTCGAATCGACTGAATAATTGTCATCGCTATTATGGAATTGAAATGTAACAAGTGGTGGCATAATTGATAAGTATTAAGGTAAATAATAAAAATTCTAAGTATTGAACGAAAAAAATATTCTCATAAACATAATTAACATTATTTGTACAAATGTCTTTTTGTGAAAAATCCACTAATAAATTTTTAATTAAAAAATTTAGATAAAAACAACGCGTTAAATTGATGAAAAAAAAATGTATAATTAAAAAGAAAATAATAATCTGAAATTTGCGTATTTCTTATCCTATCACGCACAAACGAGCTGTCGCTGTGTAAAAAGAAAAATTTGTGACTCCTAAAATTTCTTAAGAGGTTCTGGCATTCGTTTCAGAATGCGAACAATGTTAGCCTCTCTTTTTTTCTCCTCCTTGTGGGATTATAAATAGCTTCGGCTTGTCGGTAATGCAACAAAACGACACGGTGAGAAAATGTGTCTCCTCCTAGCCAACGTCAAAAGCGTGTCGACGATCGCGCAAAACATAACTTCTCGTCGTGGTTCACCAGAGAAAGACGAGACTTATGCAAATGAACGACCGTCCGTGACTTTTCCATGTAAAGCGCTCGATCTCGATCCCGTTGATCGACATGATTTTCCCAGCGCGCGCTACAGAACGGTATAAAATCACGTTCACTCGAGATGCATGAATGTCTTCTCTTGCATTTCTTGGAGAAATGTGTACATATGTCTCTTGTATAAATATGTATATATATAATATTTAATATTTTCATATTCAATTTATTATTTTTTATTAATAGAAAATTTGATATGAATAGGAAATTTCAATGAATTAAAGCAAATGTTTGGAAATGAAGAGAAGACAATTATTACATAATATTACATTACAAATATACATAATATTATATTACAATATTATATTATATATACGATATGGAATGAATCGCGGAGATTTGCAATGTTCACGATCGTGAAACCTCGTTAAACCTCTCTCGCAGGAAGCGGAAGCAATGGACGACACAGTCGAGCCGGAAGCGATAGTTAACCAACCTCATACAAGTCCTTCCTATTCTTTGCGTATGAAAAATGGCAGAGCGCAACCAAGCCAAGTGCCCTCGATAAGTGAGCTTTTATTTTTGTCCGTATGCGATTATTCGACAGAATAACATTATCAAATGAAGAGTGTCCCGACCGACATTTTACGTGACCGATAAATGTAATTTGATGCTCGAGATATATCAAGGGGTTCTAAGTTACTATTTTACAAAATACTTTATCTTTCGGGAGAAAATACTTTTCCACTTACTTTGAGATAAGACCCATAATACTTGGTGACGTATGGGCTGTCGCACTGCGACAGCACCATAATCTCCTGCTGTATGTCCTCAATCTCATCTTCCGCCTCTTCGAGATCGATGATCTTGATGGCCACGACTTGCTGAGTTCTGTTGTCGATGCCTTTGAAGACTTCGCCGAAGCTACCCTTTCCGATTCGCTCCTGTTTTGTAAATATCAGCTCGGGATCCACCTTCTGCAACAGAAATTCGATAGTCTCCGGTTATTACTTTCTGCCATTCGACTTCGTCTCGCTTCGCTCTTTCGCAATGTCTCTCGCGTCATTTCCGTAAAGAGTACGGATCTTTCCATGACGCAACAACCATGACAATATAACAAGGTATTGAGAAATTTCGAGATTTCTCAGGCAATAGGCATGCGAGACTTTCTTCGCTACAACGCGGCCTTCGGAGATTAATAAATGCAGCTATGCAGTTCTCCTTGGCTCCTTTCTACGAGATGACACATGATATCATAACATGCGTCAAAAAAAAATTGCAAGTCGCGTCGACTTTACGTATCTCGCATAAACTAGGTAAATTATTTACTTTTTAATAATAAATCGCGATTTTATACTCGTAATAAATGGTAGCACTGGATTTAGCTATTCGCGTTGAGCAGTTTGACAAACGTCCTTTGCTTTAATTCACTGTTTAGACTTGCATACGAGCGCTATGCGTGCACATTTCTTCTTGCTTGTGGAAGCTATTTGCACTAAGAGACGACGTTACTGCCCGGGCATTAATAAATTACGGTTACTGCGACTGTTTTGCGCCTTTTCCCTCCGGCGCTTTTCCGCCCGAAAACGCCTCTAACGTCGACTAGAGAATTCGCCTTTAATCAGGCGAAACGACCGTTTTACGGTGAACGAAAAAAAAATTTTAGAATTCAGTCTGCTACTAATCCTTTCTTATGGGTTTTTCCCGAAAGTGTATTCCCCGTATATCCCATAACCGCAGAACACTAAGAATTTTTTCGCTGGAATTTTTTTCACCGGAATTTTTTCTTTGATTCGCGAAGAGATTATCTCGGTAATAAAACAGCGGCAATAAAAATCGCAATGAGAGAGAGAAAAGAACAAGAAAAAAAACGCATGTTCTACGTATATATTTTACGTAAATAAATTCTTTGCAATTTCAACACGCTTTTAGTATTCATCTCACGCGAGAAACTGAGCGCGAGACGACAAAATAGTCCAAAACAAATTGCATTGTCTTGAATACGACATTTAATGTTTCACTCGTAAACATTACATTTTTTATGCAACTTGGATGAAATGTTCTAATTTGCCATAAGTGGTTAGAATTCTTTTTAAAATTCTGAATTAATTCGTGATGGGAAAGAAATCCAAACAAATCTAATCTAATCATGAATATAATTTTCTACATATCATAATTTTTTCGCTAACAAATATCGTAGAAATAAATCATTTTATTTTCTTTTCTCTCATATCTTCCGGACAGTCGTATTCGTTGATAAGCATTAAAAATGTCAGACACGCTAATTTGTCTCGGACACTCAAATTAATGATGAATATGCACGGAAGTTTTTTATGGGAGGCTGACTCTTTATTCTCTTCTGCCTTCGCAATCCGCAGATCACAGTCAAAAAGTCAGTAAACTGAAAGCTCATATCAGAACAGCGAGATTAAAGCGAAGCTTCGAAGCCTGGAATGGGCTCTAAGGGCAATGGAATAAAAATTCGCGACCGTCGGTAAAATCCGGAAAATTTGCTTTGCAAATTCTCTCATATATCCAACGGCGGTATTTCGTGACTGTCGGAGCATTTTATCGCGCTGATGGATTAAAGCCCATTGATTTTCATTGGATCTCGATCATTTCCATTTCACTTAGTATCATCGATATTTTTTTTTACACCAAAATTGATAATCGCATGAGCGTATCAAAAAGCGTAAAAAAAAACACTCGGAAATTATTGCTGCTGAACATTACATTAGTATGAGATTTTCCTGCAAATTATCATCTAATTTCCAGATACTATTGAAAATTAGTGTAAATTTGTGGTCGGCGGTTTGCAGAGTACAACACACTACTTGTTCTAGCAAGTCACGTGAAGTCATGGTTAACCACGCTTATAAACCGATAATATTTGCAAATATTATCGAGCTTGTAATATATTAGCGCGAAATATTTGCCAAAATTGTACGATAAAAGGAGGAATAAAATCATGTAATTTTCGATACAAATTACGTTGTGGTGATGCAATAATACTTGATCAATTAACGAGAAGCTGCAAAAAAATTGCATATCCACCTTTTTCACCGCAAGAGCGCACACGCTGTATGCAATCTAAGATTCGTGAGCGACGTAAGGACCATCGAACGAGAGCGCGAGAGACAAGAGAAGAGAATGACTCTCGACTCGGCATGTAATACTGCATCGTCGAGATGCACCGGACGTCTCTCCTTTTTTCAAGTTGCTTTTTAGTGCGCGACGCGTCGCCTGGAACTCGCGACACAAATTCTAATTAGTGGTCGCCGCAAAGAAATTCGCGGCAGATAGGTAACCGACGATCGAGGAACAAAGGCAACGAAGATATTTGCATCGCAAAAATAAGATATGAATATTCTTCGTTATTCTTCACGTATTATGAAGAATTGGAATTCAAATTTGCTTCCTTTTTCCCCTGAAAAAAGCTTTCTTCTTTCATTAAATAATATTATTTATTTTAATATTTTTAATATTTATATTATTTATTTTAATATTATTTAATGTTATTTTTATTGTTGTAAAAAATAAATTTTCCTCGCATATTATGAAGAAAGAAATTTTATCTATTTGTAGCATCGTCATAATGATGCTTTAGATTTCCAACAAACCCCCTTATTAGGCGAGTTTGGACAATGGTTCGCTTGATTTTGATGGACACGCCTACTCTAAACCATATTAACTATGCCACGCTATGTAAGCATATGGGTTTCCTGTTGAGCGATCTTTGACTCATGATTGGCGGATATGATGAAATTGACGTAGAGCCATCAAGAGCACTCATTATTAACGGTCATGTAACAGCTTGATTCTATTGTACACAACTATCAGTTGTTGCACAATTTACAAAATCTCGCCAAAATAGCATAACACAATATCTCGGTGATATGGCTGGTGATATGTCAGAAAATTAACGTGTGCTGAATGTAATTGGATTATAGCGTTACATTAGCTTCTCGTTCAAGCATATGCTACATTCAGCATTAATTTCTCGTTTATATCAGGATATGCGGAATTAATTTAAAAAGCAAATTACGTAAATTTCCTGAAATATTAAATTTATTCGGATTATATGAGAGATGCTAATCCTGACAAAGTAACGTTACAGTTTTGTGAATTTGATTTGTAGAACTTTTGTATGAGAAATGTGGCAATTTAATGATGTTTAGTCGTATAAATGTGTGAATTACATGCTATTTCTCGATGTATTTGTCCCCCGTAAAATTGTTATATCTGTTCTATCCATTAAATTTCCATCGCTGCGAATAATTATTCTTTTAGATCAGATTCTCGAATTAATCCATACACACACACACACACACACGCACACATTTCTCTAAAATCTTCTTTAATACCTAGTGATGAAGTTCCCATTTAATATCACTTCGCTGAGCATGGGACTGAAATAATTTGCCAGATAACACGAAGTTTGGTATCGTTCTGACACATCTTAATTAAGAAGTGTAACCGCGTCTCAAGAATTTCGTCTCAACCGTCCTTTTAGGGGGAGATGGGCTCAAATAGACTCGCCGCCTTTCAAGATAAACGTGCCAACTTCATCAGGAAGCTCAAGACTGTCAGACTACAGCGAGATCGCATTAATTCCAAGAAGCTACGATTGTTCTCTCTCGAGATGGGAACAGTCCGATACCTATTTGCAATATGTATTCCAGCGATTCAATGAAACAACAATCCAAGTCAGTTGTATATTTCATCACTCGAAATAAGACATTTGCAATGAGATATTTATATAAATAATAAATCGCAAATGAAACTTTTACTGCGATAAAGAGACAAATGAAATCTTTTATTGTCAATTGCGTGCAATTTTGTATGTGTTGCGTGCTTCCGGATCTCGATGCAAATTGACTAAAACATTTGTGGGATTGCTCCGGTTAACTCTATTGTTGCAAAAAATTACCATATTTTTTTTGCGGCTGAATAAACTTACACGAAAGGTAACTCAGACTATGTACGCGCTTCAAAAGCATTGTTATGTGTAAAGAAGAATTTCATTACCATATGTTTAAGTTACTCTTTGAAAATCTGAATGCATGACAAATCGGAGCTCCGCCTAAGTCGTGGATTTTAAAATGCATTGGGCGAAAGTAATGTCAAGTACGCGAGACTATGTTGTTCGTTTTAGTATCGTCGATTTTTCTTGCATTTGAATAATAAAATCCGTTCGTTACTTCTTAAATATAAATTATGTTCGCGTACGCACGAAATAAATAAAATTATTACCCGGTTTTCTTTTTTATGGAAAAAGAATTTTGTATAAAAAAAATTCGCTTTAAATTAAATAAACACAAACTACTTAATCAAATTCATATAGAAATAATTATGTAAATCTGGAGGTTAAATATAAATTAATATTTCGCACATCAATCTCTCTAAAGTTCAATTATATTAAAGCTACCTCTGAACTTTCTCTCTCGCGTTTGTGGAATCGTATATAAATATATTCGTGAATTTATCGGTGCATTTTTGTCGCGATCCGTGGACGGATAGAGGCGAACAATAGGCGCGCGAATAATTCGCTATAAATTGAAACCATCGGACGATATCTGGCGTTGCTTTTTTCACGTTTATACAACCGAGAGAGAATTGCGATTGCCTATCTCTCACGTATGCGATGCGACGCGAGTGCAGCGAAGCGATGCAGAATGCAAGAGGCAGGTGCGGGCTGATGCAGCGAGTGTTCTAGGGTCAATCAACACAGTCAATATTGACGATGATAAAACGAACGAACAAAAGCACACCCCGAACGGAATCAGAATGATACGCGACAATTCGCAACATCTGCATCGCGAATTCTGAAATGCGCAGGATGCGACATAAGTTTGAGGGAAATGTATTACTGAATTTATAATTCAACAGCCACTTTTATCTGATGAGCAAATAAACCAAAATTCTCGCATAATTAAAGTTTCATTATCTAATTATTTGTCTATTAAAATTATATAAT